GCCCCTCTCCTATCTGGGAGATGGAGTGTAAGCCTCGCAAATGACTAGAACTTTCATCTTAAGCATAAATTTAGGGTGTGCCTTAGCCACTTTCCCCTGAGATCTGCTGGAGCTCAACTCATTGCCTGAGAGTCCAACCTACAGGATTCTTCTAGATGACATGAATTCATCATGCCATCATGACCAGCTCTTCTGCCAGGAGCTGCTGGAGATGCTTCCTGGCAAGGCCAGGCTTCCTGCCTCTGTCTCATGCCTCTGACTTCCTAAGATACCTGTTACCTTGCACCTCCATGTTATTCTCTATCCATTCCGCACCCAGACCCCCTTCTTCTAAATTCCCTGAGTCCCAGTTCCTTAAACCTTGTTCATTATATGTCAATCATCTGTCCAAAAAAAATCTCTGGAATGAATGAGCTTTCCCAGATTCTGGAACTTTAACAAAAATTGTAGGCACTCAGCAGACCTGCAGGGGAGGTGTTTTGGTCCTAGGTAGGGATGGGCACTTTTAATACCACCCTAGTCAAACCTCATGGACATTTCTTCCTTGCCTATGGGAAGTCTGCCCATGAGTCTAGTGAAGAGGGAAGATGATTTGATTCACCCCCTCTCTGGCTTTTGAAGACATGAGTTTTTATTAGAGTTCATGTTTCAAATGGGCTGCTGAGGTTGCAGATACCAAGTGGGAATCAGAAATCTAGAAATGAGCAAAGCAATTAGGGATGGATTTGGGAAAGGACAAGGGAACTCCTGTGTGGAGTGTTTTATCCGCCGCCCCCTCCACCTTCCTCCCCACACCGCCCCCTCCGGGAGTCTTATTAATTTCTCCGCGGGGCTGCAGCTGGAGACTGCGAAGCAGAAGAAGCAGGTACAAGAGAAAAGGGGGCAACATAAAGGCAGGTCAAGAAAGGAAGCAGGACCAGTTGCCTTGTATTTTTTTCAGACATCTTTGTTTTTGCCTTCGATTGCCATTGAGGCAGAAATGACACTTTAGTCATGCTTGACTCCTCAAATAGTTCCTAGGGTGGTGGTTCAAAACATGTTTGTTGAATGCGATAAATAAGAAAACTGAAGTGGGATGTGGTAATGGGTCAAGTGGGTGCAATGGGTCATGGTGACTACCCTGACTGTCATTGCATACCATCTTGTTAACTTCGCTTTTTAAACAAACAAAAGAAGGAATAAATTAAAATAGTTAATTCTAATGGTAACTCGCATGACAGTAAGTGAAACCCCCTCTCTTGGGGGATTTTTTCTGCTCAATATCCAGATTCTATTATTCTTTTTTTAAAAATATATATTTTATTGAATTTTTACAGGGAGGAAGGGAGAGGGATTGAGAGTTAGAAACATCGATCAGCTGCCTCCTGCACACCCCCTACTGGGGATGTGCCTGCAACCACGGTACATGGCCTTGACCTGAATCGAACCTGGGACCCTTGAGTCCGCAGGCCGACGCTCTATCCACTGAGCAAAACCAGTTAGGGCCAGATTCTATTATTCTTATAGCAGAGAAGCCAGAAACTTAGAGGAGCTGAGCAGCTTACCCAAAGCCACACAGAGGCAAATGTTGTGCTCAGGACAGACACTCTTAGTTTCCAATACTCAAGGCTATGACTGTGAGAAGAGGAAATTGAACCTCATAGGATGTTCTATTCCAGAGTGGACACACATTAAATATAAGAGTCAAATGAATTAATGTAATATAGAATGTGGGGCCCTAGCTGGTTTGGCTTAGTGAATAGAGCATCACTACACAAAGTTGAAATGGGATCATGAACAACCAATCCTTAACCTGTTTGCTATTAGGGTGGAGAGCAAGTTCCTGTTCTGCTCTTCTGGAATTCAGATACACTTTCTATTTATTGTTTATAAATTTAAATATTTAAAGGAATACAAGGCAAGTTCGCACAGGCTGAACTGGGCCTCTTTAAAATGTAAATACATTTCCAATGGCGGGGAAATTACTGAAAGATGGTAACTTTGTCTTCTGACAATATTTCCCAGACATTTTTTTCATTGTTAGCAAAGCTCTCTTGGAGTGTAACTAAGAGTTTTTGAGGAATGGTAAGTTTAAAGCAAAGGAAAGGAAAATTTCAATCAGAACCAAGCTGCCCCCACTTCTTTATTTTTAAACAGAACCATCAAAGGCCAGCTAACGGAAATATACTTAAGTGGCATTAATTCATCCCTAAGAGGCTCTCCAAGAGTTTTATTGCTACATAAGGGAAAACCATAAACCAGCAGGAGGAGAAAGCAAGGAAAATAAGTCTGGGGAGTCGCCTCATGTTAGAAAGTGAGCAGGTGGTCAGTAATGTGTCCTTGGCTGGTTTCCACAGCAAGGAGACAGACATTCATGGCAAGGATGGGGCCCACAAAACAGGCAATCACAAGGAAAAGAATCGTG